TGTGTGTGTGTGTGTGTGTGTGCGTGTGCACCCTTTCCTCCCCCTGCAGCCTACATCCACTCCAATCAGATCATGGGCTGGGGAGAGAAGGCCATTGAGATCCGGTCCGTGGAGACGGGACACCTCGACGGAGTTTTCATGCACAAGCGAGCTCAGCGACTGAAGTTCCTGACGGAGAGGAACGACAAGGTGAGTCTGTGCGCACGCGAGCGAAGGCGCCACGCCTAAAACACACCTGCGTGACGCGCTGCCCTCTCCCCGCAGGTCTTCTTCGCCTCGGTGCGTTCTGGAGGCAGCAGTCAAGTCTTCTTCATGACCCTCAACAGAAGCTCCATGATGAACTGGTAACCCTTCCACCTCTTGGACCCGCAACCCTTGTTTTCTTCACCCTGAACATTTGGCCACTGAGGGACGACAGGAGGACGGCGTATGTGTGCGTAAATGTGTGTGCGTGCGTGTGTTTGTGGATAAACGGACAATTGAGCATCAGGAGGAAACTGCAGGAGTGTGCCCACCCCACACACACCCCCCCTCCAGCTGCAGGGGGCACTACAGGGCCCCCGCGGATGGCGTCACTGCCTGCTGAGCAAAGGTGACTCCTCGTGCTGTCGGCGGGCGACGCCTCCTCCTCCCCTGCAGGCCGACGGCTGACGCGGACATGCCGAGTAGCCTTCGACCTTCCCGTTCGATCGATGAGGAGCTGCAGAGGTTCCAAGTGTAGCACATCAGTGACTTTACATTACAGCAGTGTTCACGCTGCGGGCGCGGCGGCAGGTGGTTTGGCGTGTTACAGTGAAAGCTGCTGCTTCTTATACTGTGATTAAATTAGGTTAGAAGCATGAACGTCCACACTAAGCCTGCTGAATCTGACAGTTTCGTGGATTTGCCACCAAGTGAACGTCGACAATCGTGAGAATGTTTCGTCACCTGCACACAACGTGGTTTCTGGCTGCCTTTAAGTTTCTGCTGAGACAAACGAGTCCCTCGGAAATAATAATAATCGCCTTCCTTTGTCTCGATGCACGTTTGACTCAGTGAGAAGTGAGAGGGCTGCGCACAGATGGTGTTTATTTAAGGTAGTGTTAAAAGAACAGAGATCGTGACAAAGATTTATTTATAGCCAAAAGCGAATCGCTGAACATTTTTGCAGAATCTTTCAAATTTTAGAAGAACTTAAAAAATCCTCAGAGAGAAATTGTTTTGTTAGTTTCTCAAAAGCAGAGGAAGAGATCTGAATGACGCAGTGGAAAGAGAATTAGTGTGACCTTAACCTCCTAGGACCTGGCGTCCACATTTTGGGTTATTTAGACCAAAATACTCAATTTTGCTCTACAAGGGCCTGATATCCACTTACGAGGACGTTATACTGCCACTGTTGAATCGAAATTTAAACAAATATCCTCATATGTGGCTCTGATTTTTCTTAGAAACAAAAATCAGGTAAAAAAAAAAAATCTGGTAATTCTGTGTTTAAATAATCATCAGGACCCAATCAGCCCAAATATCAGAGAGAAATTAAAAATGCTGCTGTGGAAGAGTTCAGGTCTTAGGAGGTTAAATGACTAACACAGTCTCAAAGCTTTCTATTAATCAGTTACACATCTAACCCCTTTTTAACCCTTACTTTCATCAGTCTGGGCTCATAAAAATAACCTGACAGTTTGTGTCCATGAACGTGACAAAAACAGTTCGCCTTGTCACGACTTTCATGTTTTCTTATGAGACAAAATATGAAAGGCAAAATAGACGCTCACACTGAGCTTATTAGTAATAATTTTTATGTTTTTAGTAATTTATACCCATTCAGCACACGTTCTATGAACCGAAGAGAGCAACGTCTGAGTGGTTGCCCTGACGCTGTCCCCCTTGGATGTTATCTCTTATCTGAGCAGCAACACCACTGGGTGTGCATCACTGTGGCCTCTGCAGCTTACTAGAGCTGTATCGGCAGGTTCTGGGTTGAAAAACAAAGAACCTTTTCAATGGTGATCAAACCACATCAGGACTCGTTGTTAAGGATACAGGGGAGGACGTCAGATGTCATCTTTATGGAGGAAAGACTCAAACATGAAGGCTCTTCCTCACAGTGGCTAACACATGTTATGAATTTAACACTGGACTCTGTCGCTACCTGCAGATCCAAACCTGCAAAGCCAAAGCTGTGTGTTATATGGGAGCTGGAAGAAGCTGAATCGGTGCTTCCAAAAACCAACAAACGTGTGTGTTGAAATTTGAAAACACCCAGGCTTAGTGTGGATAAGCTGCTTGTTGTCACGCCGATAACGATGGCAGTTTGACGGCGGTTAAACGTTTTGTCTCAGACCGATGTAGCTCTTTGTTCCAGCAGGAAACCACGAGGCCGCGCAGACGGCGTTTCTCACAGTGTGAACACTGACGCTGCTGCTGTTCTTCCCCGTCGGAGGCTGAAATAGTTGAGACGAGCAGCGAGCGTCGCGGCGCTGCCGCACAGCCGGCTGCTTTGTCCCGGTTTGTTCCCAGCAGGGGGGGGGAGGTTGTAGATATTGTACCATTGCTGCAACAGCAACACAATAACAAAAGTATTCCCGTCGTTTTCTCACAGGAAGAACTCAGCTGTAGAGTAGGCGCCACCTTCTGGAAGTTTTTACTCGTGTCTGTCCACGCTGCTCTGTGTGTGTGCACTTGTGTAAATACTCACTTTGATGTTAAGGACAGACAAAGAAAATAATGACAGTCTAGCTTTTTATCCTTTCTTTTCTTTTCTCATCCCTTTGTGAATCTGTCTACGCTTTAGGGGGACTAAACTCAAAAGTTTAGTTTGGATTTTTCTCTCCATAATTCATTTGCCTTTATTTAGTTTTTGCATGACGGCATTCATGTTTTTTCACCCGCCGTTACTTGTTATGAGTTGTAAATTTGAGGCAATACGCGGTGGGGCGGGGGACGTCTGACTGTGTACCCTAAATCTCTGAGCTGAAAACAACAGCTGGGCTTTTCTCTACTGAACTGCACACTGGAGGATCACACGTTTACCATTAAAGTCTTTATGTTCACGGTCGTTTCCAGAGTGCAGCTGGTGAAGAGCGAGCGGGAGCGTCGTCTTAAAGGCTGGAGTTGAGCCTTCGCTGAGTGCACGCGCTTGTGTTTATAGAAGGAAGCTGCTCCGTCCTTTACTTGATCTTCTTTTGCTGTTTTTAAAAGAGATGGTGGAGGGGGCGAGTGATGGCGCCAGCTGAAGCCTTTTACATGTGCAGGATGTTAGCAGCACCCTGTGAATAAAGGTCAGGAGGCAGGGTCAGCTTGAGAAACCATAGATTAAAAAAAAAGAGATATATACTGTAAGAATTTTCGTTATGATGATGATATCCTACTGATCATTTTAGAGAAAGACAAAAAAATAATGTTCACTTATTAAAGCATAGTTGTCTTTCTACAGAATAGAGAACATAGCTATAAGAATTTCTAAAAAAAATCAAACAGTACAATGTTTTTATTGTGGTATTATTTGTATTTGTATTTCAATTTTTGTACGTATCAAGACTGTGAACATATGTACGATTGTTAGCCTCTGAGTGTGCGTGAGTGCGTGTGTGTGTGTGCGCGTGCGTGGAGGTGAGCAGGTGTGTGCACAGGTGCGTGACATGCATGTGAGTTTTCACCCCGTCTGAATCACTGGAATCAATCAAAAGACAACCTCGACCTGGTAACACGCATCTGTGGTGTTGGGAATTCTACAATAAATGTCCTCTCCTTGTACAGCAAACACACCTGACCCGCTCTCTTTATTCATACGAGTCACACGGCAGCTTCTGGCCAGTCGAAACTGCCCAAATATTTTTGGTCATATTAGGTGTTCTAATGAATTTAGCTGCTATGTTTGAGTGAGACAAAGACTGGACGTTAGAGCTAATAGGAAAAACACTCGTTTGTTTTAGTCCCAGTGTTTCTACAGGCTGCAGCACAGATTCACAAACAGTCCTGGAAACATTCCTCAGAGATTTTGTTCCATAATAAATAATAAATAAAT